ACAGATGCATCTTATTACTTTAGTAACTTACTTTCAGTATTGGCCGAGTTAGCACTGATTGTATATATTCAAGTAATTTAATATTTGTCAAAAACTGCAATGTACAAATTTCATAATTTTGTTTTGCTTAAGACCAACTCTTATATGTTTGTATAAATGTAATCGATATCCATAAATAAAGTATGTCTACTTATATTATTTTACATTAAAATGAAATTAAAAATTTATTCGTTAGTGTTTTAATTGCTATATAGATGTTGCATATTGCAATTGCAATTCAAATGAATAATGTTTATTGATCAACTTTCTATAGGATAGTTTATCTATATGGTTATAGTAATGGGTCGAAAATCTAAAATGAAAATTTTTGCACGTTTCGAAGGTTTCTGAACATTTTGGCAATCCTTTTAATTAGAAAAAAGGGTTTTTTTTTTATGCCCGCATTTTTTCGTTTTACGTTTTTGGCGCACGAATCAACCCGATCAACCGCGATTTGATTGACTGGTTCAAAAAATATTCGATTCTTATTGATAGAAGATGTGCTGATTAGTTTTTTGGCAAAGGCAGGTCCAACCGTCACGGAGATACGGAGCAAAGAATGCAGAAAATGCAAATCGAGATTTTGAGAGCAAAGCATCCGATTTGAATGATTCCAAAAATTGTCTGCTTGTACTATTGCTTTTGGATTTTTTTTTCAAAAATTTTGTTTTTTGCATATCGGAAATAATTCAGATTATAATTTAATTCTTGGCTAAAGTTTAAACTCATACTTTAAATGAATAATTTTATATTTGCAATTCAGTTTACATAATCCTTATAAATATTTGGTCTATTTATATGTGTAGACAATGTTATAGCAGTATTTATAATTATCCATTTGAAAAAATTTAATATTCCTCGAAACTTTCGTTACGATACGGAAAGTTCCAGCAACTCATTCGAAAAGGTTGGAAACCACTGAATGAGTATTCTCTAGGGTCAATGTGCACTTTGACAGATCGAGGCGTTAATTCGTTTGACATTTTTTATATGTTGGTACAACAGGTTGTATATTTTGTGATTGTCCAAATTAGCAGCTTTAGCTCCACGTGAATAATAAAATAATTTAGTCATTAAAGGAGTAATAAACTAAATAGAAAGATTTTGCATATGTCTGGATTCGAAATTGAAAGAAATTCGAGTGTCTCAAAATTTGTATTTTATTTTGTCAACATTTCTTAGCAGCAGTTTCTAGTTCAATTGACAGTTGTGCATTGTCAATTACATCGGTCCGGTCATTTTTGTTATATTGGTCAACATGAAGTTAAATTATATAATATATTATAATTATAATATTTTATAGATGTACAATGACATTTATTTATAATTGTCCATTATGGCATTATCTGGTTATAATGAAATATATATGAATAATTCCTATGTTTCAAGAAAACTATAGTGATATGTTACTTTTAAAGAATAATATATTTAAACATTTTAATATGTTTATTTTAAAAAGAGTGTTTATATAAAAAATAACTTAAATAGTCTTATACTGAACTTGAAAGTGGTTATCAAGGTCTAAGGGAATCAAATAGACCGGCACAATTTTTTGTTGGTGAAGATGGAATTTTGTGTCAATTGATAACAGCAAGTAATCTTTATAGATGATATAATATAAATAAATAGTGATCGTTTGGGCGGTTTTGTCAGTAATATTTTCTAAGAAATATTCTGTAAACTAACATAGCCATTAATATTTGACAATCTATAAGTTTTATTTATGAACTCAAATTATTAATTTTGTTTTTTTTTATCCTTATCTTGACAATTACCACGTTTAATTGGCAAGTGGGCACATCATAATAATCACATTTATAAGAATAAAAATAAAAATGGTGAGCTCAATCGTCATAAATTACATTTTAATTGTTACATGAATAAGAATTCGCTGATAATGAACACAGTATTGAACTAAATTTACTTCCAGGGATGAAATGTAATATTAGGTCAGAAGAGTTTATTTTATATGTCGGCTACATGAATAATGTGATATCTTTGAGATACATAATAAGTATCTTATAATAAGTATCTTCCATGTTTATTAGACTCATCATGATGAGACTTTTGAAATACGAATAATTATGTATGAGATTTAAAATATTAGCATCTAAATAAGGAATCTGATTCAAGCATGTTAGAATTAGATGTTGGTTCATATCGTTATTACATCCATAGAAGGAGCCGTATGCCAATTATATCTTGAAATTACCCTTCATTCTTTAAAAAGAGATCATATGTGGATTAAAAGACAAATCTTCAATTTTACCATTGAGAGTAAACAACAGTAAAGTAAATTCAAATAAAATTATTCGGATAATTGTACTTATTGTATAGTTTGCTATGTAAACTAAAACAAAAACAAAAATCTGAACTATGTGATACCAATAAGACACATTATTTATAATTTTAAGATTTTCTATATTAAATTAATACTTCTATTCTTTCATATTTAATTTTAATGTTTTCTCATTGCTATCTTACTAACTTGTATCCAATAATCAACAGATATAGAGTACAGAAAGCTTTGTGCATAAAACAACTTGCTGTTAACCATATTTTTATTTTTAATTTGTTCTGAATAAATATTTAATTTGCACTGAACAATCATTGTTTTTGTTTAGGTAAATTGTCTATTATATCATATTTTAAATCAATAAATTTTCTATTCTATTCTATTCTATTCATATTTCTCTGAGATACTATTGTTTTAATCTCACAACAATCACTAAAAAAAAATATCTCCAACAAACACTCACTAGTTAAGCATATTATATCAAGTCTTCAAACAAACAGTGTCTATTATTCTTGCTCCACATATTAATTTGGAAAATAATGTTTTAATAAAGTATAAGAGCAATTAAGACTTATTCATAGATATTTGCAAAATCAAAAGTCAAGTTTGATAGGAACGTTACAAATATTGTTTCATATATAATAATTTGATTTTATCTTAGAATAACTAGGCTTAGTTTATGTGTAGTGTTTTGTATAAAATCTAATACAGTGACTCAACATAATACTGTGAAATCATTGTCTTAATTTTATTCTTATTGTTAAATAAGTCTTATATGTTATATTAAAATTTTTCATTTTATCTTTTTTTAGGCCACTGAATCTGATTTATGCTCAGATTCAGATGCAGAAGTTCCATGGCAGAAGGCAAGCAAGTTTTTGTTGGAGTATTGCATGGCAAAGAAATCACAATCAAACCCATAAAGAAATTTCTAACACGATTAGAGGAATTTGAGTTTCTTAAAATCATTGTTTTTCCTGAAGAAGTAATTTTAAAGGTATATAACTACTATACCTTATATATATTTAAATTGAAAAAAAGAAGGATCTGTAAAATATAATTTTAATTTGTTTTATATATTTGTTATTTGCAATTCACATAATTCAAGATCTTATATAATTATGAAAAAAAAAATGTATGTCTGCTATAAATATATAGATATATTCATATAATTGTAGGTATATATCATTAATTTATTTTAGACTCCTGTTGAAGACTGGCCAGTTTGTGATTGTTTAATATCATTCCATTCCAATGGATTTCCTTTAGATCAAGCTATTCAATACGCCACCCTCCGAAATCCATATGTATCAATAATCTTCATATGCCAATATGATAGTCAGGTAGGAGAGTTTTTTTTTAAATACATATAATGATGGTTAAAAAATTACATAAATATCAGAATCAAGTGTTTTAATTTTAGTTTTTTTTGCACTTGAAAATTTTATCATACTTTATTTGATTTCGAAGTTATTTATTCAATATCAAACATATATTGGCTAGTTTAAAAAATTGAAGTATCATGAGGTTCATATATGTATATATAGATATATATATATATATTTATTTATTTATTTATTTATTTTTATTTATTTATTTATTATCTTAAATTATGATTTTATTAATAAATTTTATGCAACTTATAGAATTTTATTTAATGAAAACTAAAAATTATTTTTAAAAAACGAAACCAAAGTTAATAATGATTTTAATTTAATCATGAGAATAACACTAAAACTAAAATTGATTATGTACATTGGCTCAACTATTGTTCTAAGAATTTGTTTTATCTTCTTTGTTTACCCAATTCATTTCAAATTGATATCACATATTTAAATATGTTATTATATTGTTTAGTTGATAAGTTTCTTATAGGTGCATATTTAGATTAAATGTAAATATTTAAAGTTCTTATACATAATATTATTAATTCTAAGATATGGGTTGAAATATAATATTTATGATACTAAAACAATTTTAATAAAGTACTATTCTTTCATGTAATAAAAAGATTACATAAAGAATAATTTTTACATGAAGAATTTTTCAATGTGACAAAAATTTTTTATTGCATAAAATTTAAATTCAATCTTTAGATTCTATATCCTATATCGATAGGTCAATTTTTTTTAATACAAAACTTTGTTCACTTCTGGATGCATTTCCCAAAGTGGAAATAAAAAACATATTTTCAATTGCTATTATAAAATGTTTTTAATAGAATCAAACCATGAAGCGTAAAATGATTTTCAGATTCAACTAAATTGTTAGATTGAAAATGTTGAATTTTTAATTATCATAAATATAAATTAAGAATGCATAAATTTTTGAATCGTCATCTGTTTGAAGTTCAAATAAGTTTAAAATATTATAAAAAAAACTTATTTAATTTTGTTTACTTTTTTTGAATACGCATTATAACTGTTTTGCCGATCCACTTGCAAAAATTAATCATAAGTTAACAATACAATTTAATCATATCACCTACGTGTGAAACGTTTGTAACGATTTATATAGATAGAAAAACATAATATTAAAAATTATTATATAATTAAAATATAAAACAATAACTTACCCTACGGGAAGTTAATAAATATAATATATATAAAATATATAATAAATAATTATTGCTGATATTTAAGTAAATTTTTATGGTTTGTTTCAGGATAGAAAAAAGTAATATTCAATATTAGATAGCGAAGGAATTGAAATACCACGGTATGCAGTATTAGAACCGAGATTCACCTGATCCAAACGTAAGTATCTTGCATTTTTTTACCCCGAGAATACTATATATCTATTAGAGCAGGCCGATTTGTATGGGCCAACAAAGGTCGCTTAGCGCATATGATTTTTTGATTCTAGGGATCAAAATAAGACACTTTGCTGAAGAAATCATACCTCTAAAATGAATTCTGATGTCATCATTGACTCAAAAATAAGGGTTGAATTTTGAAAAAATTCGTTCGGACCCATTTCGAGTGCCCCAATGGCGTCCAAATATAAGACCTACCCCCACTAACTTCGGAAGGCCGATCTACCCATGCTCATGGTTTTGACAAACTGCCTTCTAAACGTCTATTTTTTTAAAAAACATCATACTTTTCGACTAACATCCTAGCCTTCATTCAATGTAAACATCAAACATCTAATTTGTTCCATATCGACTTACTTTCAAACAATCACTCATATTATCAAATAAACTTTTGAATTATTCATTAGCGAGTCCTAAAATTAAATGAAAATTTATTTTAAATTAAAATGTCATGTACCAAATTCTAGTGCGACTTGCTATTATAAATTTGTAATATAGATTTATGTTACAATTAATAAATTATACTTGGTTGATTGAGATATTATGTAATGCTAGTTATCATACAAATTATATATTATTTGTAAATAATAAATCAAATTAAAACTAGTTGAAAGTGGCATTTTGCCTTAAGGCAAGTTGCATGAACTTCCAGACTTTCACTTAAATCTAATCTCATTGGGGTTTCCAATTGATATTCCTCAAACACATTTAAAATATCTGTAATTATATTAATTATAGTGCAAGGGTACGTTTTTGTATGTCTTACAATTCTAGTTTATTATTCCAAATTATAATTAATTTATATAATTAGCAATTTTCATAGGACTGTTCAGTGCACGAACTTTATCGCCATGTTAAATTTCATAAAAAACGATTAAACTTTTTTTTTCGAAACGTAATAAATTATTTTGTGAAATCTTGAACACCTGCTATAAAGAAAATACTGGCACGATCACATATATCAAGTACATAGTCTTTGATATTATTTAATCATTTAAATTATTGGTAATATTTTTTTTACACTGCTCAGTTCCTTTTTCGTTAATTCCAAAGCCATTTCCAATGGCTTGGCAATGGCTTTTAAGTTTGTGCAATTTGAATTTTGACTTGACTTTTATAGTGATAATAATATAAACTTAACTATTTTCTCATAAATAATAATTGATATTTCAATCTTCATAGGGAAAATTGATGATTTAAATCAAGTGGCGGTTTTCTCTTCAGTTTACGACGATAGTTTTCTGTTAATAAGGAATTTGCTAGTGAATTTGGACGACTGTTGAGCTTGTTTCTATATTTATGCGCTGTTTTTGTTATTACATCTTTTATGGTAGGTGTAGCAAAAGCGACCTTTGATGCAAATTCTGAATATCTTTTTTTTTCAAGCTTTGTTGAATTTTTAAAGTTGAACCACTAGTCGTAAGGCCGTAATATTTCAGTATGTTTTTTAGAACCATCATAAATATCAACATAAAAAGTTTCATCGAAAATGTTAATTTAACAGTTAAAACGAGAAAACGGCTCGGTCAATCTTTGTCCAACACTAATCAGCATGATTTACAAATTACATCTTTCGAATAGTTTTTGAATTTTTAGTATGGATTCAGAATTTTTGGCTAAAACGCGGACAAAAAAAATTCACTTTTCTGCTAACTACAAAGAAACGGCTGGGCCGATTGTCGCACAAAACTGAGAAAGATAGTTCTTATCGAGATACGTCGAATGGTTTTTGAATTTTTGAAACTGATTCTGCAGTTTTTAAAAAAACGCCGATGAAAGGTGTAATAAAAACTATAGTCAATTCTCCAAACTTCGATAAATATTTAAAATTAAATGACTTTCCGTAGAGCCGTAATATTTTAGTATGTTTTATAAAACTTTCTAAACTATCTATCGTTAAAAAATGTTTCATAAAAATCGTGGAATTTTTTTAAACAGTTAATTACAAGAAAACGGCCCGGCTGATCTTCACCAAAAACTAATCAGCAGTCAGCCTGATTCCCAAACAATATCTTTCAACGGTTTTTGAATTTTTAAAATTGATTTAGGTTTGTGGGCTAAAACGTGGACGATTTTTTTTTTTACTTTTCTGCTATTAAAGAAACGGCTTGGCTGAATGTCGTGCAAAACTGACAAACACAAATCATTATCGAGTTACATTGAACGGCATTTAAATTTTCGAACTTGGTCTAGACATTTCTGAGAAAACGTCGACGAAAGGTCAAAAATGGGCTCGCATACTCAACACATATTTATTTCCAAACTTGATCTCATTTGATAAAACGTCGAGAAATCATAAAATTAGCAAATCAGATTTTTGGGTGAAAATAAACTTCTTCGTGAAGTTAAAAATTTAAATAGTATTGTTTGACTTTTTTCATAATCAAAATAACTAATCTTCATTACAACTTCAAACAAACAACACAATTCTATGTATAAATTGAAATCTTTCGGAAAATTCTAAAATGTACTTGCATGTATAAAAAACTACACTTGGAAGGCTATTTTCAATGAGAAAATGAATTTCCTTTTGTCTCATTTAGTTTGTATATATTCAGTATCATTTCGACATATTTTATTCACTGCTGATAATATTTTATCACTAAGTACTATCAAATACGTATTTGTTAACAATTTTTTTGTATATTATTTTTCAGATCACGAATTGATTGAATCTGAGGATCATGTAGAAGTTAATGGTGTTGTGTTTAATAAGCCTTTTGTGGAAAAGCCGGTGTCTGCTGAAGATCATAATATTTATATTTATTACCCAACGTCGGCCGGAGGTGGCAGTCAAAGATTATTTAGAAAGGTAATATATAATAATATTTTCAATATAGGTACATATATATATATATATATATATATATATATATTATCAACATTAACTTTCTGCAGAATTATATTCTATCGCAACTGGTCTCACTCTCAAGTATAACTTCTAATTATACAACAATTTTTATTTTTTATGAGAAGTTTATGTTCACACCAAAAAATACGATTTGCTAATTATATGTTTTCTGGACGTTTCAAGTCGTTTTTATATCGAATGAGACCAAATTTTGGGAAAGTATGTGTGTGTGTGTGAGAGAGAGAGAGAGAGCCGATTTTTCGATTGTTCGTTCTCGTTTTCTTGTAAACGGCTGCACCGATTTTAAAAATTTAAAAGCCAGCCAAAGTATCTCAATAAGGACACGCATAATTAGTTTTGCACAATGATCGCCCAAGCCTTTTTGAAAAAATATCGAAAATATTTACCATTACATTCAAATCACCTCACGTGCGCCCCACGTTGGAAATTGCCGGTTTAGCCTCTACTATTACAGGCAGTGGCGGCGCTAGACCATTCGTCGGCGTCGGCGAAATTCGTTTGCGAGGCCGCCCCCCTTTTTTAAGGCAAATTGCTGAAACTTTCCGTGCCGTAATTTAAATGTTTTAAAGGCTTTTAAATATTTTGAAAACTTTGAAAACTTTGAAAAAAATTGAATTTTTTTCTAAATTGAAACATTTATTTATATTTTGAAATTTTTTAAAAATTTCGAACTTTTTTTGAAAACAATCTCGCTTCGTTGAGGTCTAACGGTTATACATTAATACGGAACGCATAGAAATGTTAACAAAATTGGTACTTATTACAAAAATCTTCATAAATTATCTGATAAGTTGATGTGCATATGTCTAATGATCATTTTTGTCCGCTTTTCTTCTCCTTTTTTTAATGGATCTCCAAAACCGCTTGACCTGCCTTTCTAAAAATTTAATCAATTTTGCATTTTGTTAATACAAATAATATTTTTTTTGAATCATTCGAATCATACGCTCAGTTTTTTTCAAAGACTGAATCACCATTATGCCACTTTTTGCACTGTATCTTCAAAACGACTCTTTCTGTCTTTGCCAAAAACTAACCAGCACGTCATTTATGTTAAAAAGTTAAAAAATAATTATTGTTAAACAAAAGTATGAGATATATTATAATTAGATAATTACACAAATTGAAATAGACAAAAATTGCACAAGTTAAAATAAACAAATTCTTTGGCACAAAAAGTTCGTTCTTCAGATATTAGTAAAACACTGAAATCAAATAATTATCCCGAAGAAGTTTTTTTTTTTGCCAAATCCTTCGATTAGCTAATTTTATAAATCATCGACCGTTCAAATCTTTCTCAATGAAAATGATTAGAAACCACCGACTTAATCAATAACTAATTAGACAAAATTTTAAAATCTACAATTGATTAATTAGATTGAAAAATCTATAATCATAATAGTTTGAGTGTACAAATCCGCACATAAAACGTACACATGGCATTACCTAAAAGATATTATTCCAAAATTTAAAGAATTTTTAATATTAAACACTTATTGTAGTTCCATAAAATTTGTTAGTTTAGACCATAATTTTTATCTCTATATAGAGATTTTTTGAATCATAAAAACTTCATCAAATATCTGATAATTTTATGTGCATACGTCTAATGTTCATTTTTGACCACCAAATATCATTTTTTTTACTTTTTCTTCTGTATCTCCGAAACCGCTAGACCTGCCTTACCAAAAATCAATATCAATAATAATATCAATATCAATAAATCATTTCGTCATTACAAGTAAAATGTTTTTTGAATTTGAATATATCAATGATTCAAAGAACATTTATTTTGATTAACGAAATAAAAAACTAATCAAATTTTTGGGAAGGCAGTCCTAGCGGTTTCGGAGATTCAATAAAAAAAAAGTAACAAAATATGTCATTTGGCGGACAATAATGATCATCAGACATATGCACATCAAATTATCACATATTTTATAGGTATTTTAATAGTAAGAACAAATTTCGTTCACATTTCTGTGGGTTTCATACCAAGTTTCACGCTCACGCGCTTTGTTTCTACGCAGCTAACGTATCGCGATTGGTTTGAAAAAAAGTTGAAAATTTTCTAAATATTTCGTATAAATAAGTATAAAAAAATCAAAAAAGTAATTTGTTTCTCAAAATTTTTAAAAATCTCATATCTATTTTTTTTCAAAGTTCTAAAAAAATTGAATCTTTTTTAAAAAAAATTAATTTTTGATAAGGGAAGATCCAGCAATTTGCCTTAAGGCACGATGTCATGCATCACTAAATTATTTTAAAATACTACTTTATGTATAACATCAAATCTAGTTCTTTGCATTCTATTACGAGTTTATAAATTTTGCACGATATAAAATGATTCCCTGCTGGTTTTAAAATTCTATTAGCAGATACGATACTGTTCTTGGAGATCTCTTTTTATATATATATATTTTGCTTTCTCTTTTATAGTATGACTTTTATAATTAGTATTAGTTTTATAAGTAAATTTGTTTACATACATAAATTTATGTAATATCATTTATGTAATACTTAACCAAATATTTTTGAATTACATCAGTTTTTATTTAACAGATTGGTAGCAGAAGTAGTGTATATTCACCAGAGTCAAGGGTCAGGAAAACGGGATCCTTTATTTATGAAGATTTCATGCCCACAGACGGTAGGACTTTTTTATAGTATATTTGATGAACTCTGTGATAACTAACTAAACTCATTTTCACGTACTCATTTGAATGTTAGTACTCTAGTATATTTATTTCAACTAATACTAATTATGATCTAATATTTAGTATATTTAGATGAAGTGATTTTATGTTGTATCGTTAACTCTTGGTTTAACAATATTTTCATATTATACATGATATCTCAAAACTCGACGTAAAGGCGAAACGCGGTGATAGTATTGATCGCAACTATCATAAAAAAAAATTAGAAAAAAAAGATCACATGTAGTTTGAAAATTATGAGCTTTTAAGTGCAGTCTAGAGCTTTCTCAAACTTTGATCATTTTGCGGTTATCGTAGTTAGTTTTTATTATTTTTGTTTATTTTAACTTTGAAACCGTAACCGTATTATATTTTTCTACTCACATTATTTTCCATTATGGAACTTTCAAGTACCGCTTTTTAATCCTGATGAAATTGCAGGGTCTTACTTTGAAAATTTCGAATTCACGGTTTATTAAAAAATCTTAATTAATGAAAACATGGGGCATTTAATTTATTTTAGTTTTAATGTTTAAATGAACAAAAATAATGAAAATTTAACACAACCACCGAAAAATGGTCACGCCTTGACCTAAGTACATGAAATTTTTTCATCATAGTTATGATCAATACAATTTCTGCTTGACGTCGAGTATTTGGACACTCTGCAAAATAATATATTATATCAAATTTTTACAATATAGCATTGATGCCTTTTTTACAGCTAATATAGATTTTAATCAAGAAGTTTATATTCATTTCCTGGAATGATTTTATGATCATAAAAATAGGAAAGATTTGTTCAAAACACACGATATTGATTACAGCCTGATCAACTATTTTATGGTTTACATTACTTCTAATAATTAAAAAAAAAATGAAATATTGAGCTTAACTTTCTATACTTTCTAAACTTTCAACACAAAATTTGATGTGCATTATTCAATATTAAGTGCAGATTTCATGCTTTATTAAATCAAAATATAACTTCAATCAAATAACTATTCTGTGAGATTTGTAAGGATATGAAGCAACTATTGGTATTATCAAATTTTCATAATTTTTTCACGGTGATTATTAATAAATAAATTGATTCTAATCCTTATAGTGACATTGCTTGATCAATTAAAAAGTGAAACATTTGTCAGTTTTTTTTTCGAATATTATTCTAACAATAGTTCAATTTAATGCAAATAGTAATGATTATGCGGACATTTTAATTATAGTAACTTGATTAGTATATTAGAAAAGTACGGAATTTCAAAAAAAAAATCAGAATTTCAAATTAAAAAATACTTATTACCTATATTACACAATGGGAATGAGATGAACATTATCTCATCGGCATAAATAAATTTACATCTTTCATTTTTTTGTTGCTAATACAAGTAGATTTTGATTAAATCAATTTTCAATGACACACTTCAGAAAAATCACGAAAAGGTTGCATTATAATATTTATTAAATTAACATTTTTCATGTATAATAATACTAATAATAATAGTAATAATAATAATAATAATAATAATATGATCTTCAGTTTTATATTCATGCAACATAAAACGAATGCAGTATTAATCAACGATGCAATTTGTTTAATCTTTATAATTATTTTCTAGTAATTTTATTTGATGGCGTTTTATGTAATTTAAATTATTTAACTTTTTTGTAGTGGACGTATTTTTTAAAATTCAATATATGTTTCTCAAATAAGCATAACATTTTCTTGGTATACTATAGAAATAACATAGTTTTAAAATTTGCATTGAATCATTTGAATGTTGTGTTTGATATTTAGTATTGCTACTAATACTTATTAATATCATATAATTAATATAACAGATTAGTATAAGATAAACATCGGTATACATATAATATATCACTGAAACGCTAAATAATATTGACATTATTTTAATTTCTATCTTAGTTTTTATATTTGGTTCTTCCAGATTTTGTTTAACTAAATAAAAAGAAAAATAGTATTCATTAATGTATATATTTCCTTTCTTCGTACATGAACCTTTCTTTTATTTTTGTCAGTTTTGGTAAATTAGTATAAAATATTCCTTTCCGAACGCCATAATTAATTGTTTATTTGTTCGAATATGACTGATGGATGAAATAAGGGACTAAGCTTACAAATAAGGTATCAGTAGTAAAAATCATTTAGTCGCTTTGGTTTATCTAACATATCGGACTGATCTGCCATCGTACAGGGACAGATGTCAAAGTTTACACTGTGGGCCCGGACTACGCCCACGCTGAGGCCCGCAAGAGTCCGGCACTCGATGGGAAAGTGGAGAGGGACAGCGAGGGAAAAGAGATCAGGTGATTAAAACACACACACACACTATGTTATATGTTATATATATATATATATATATATATATATATGTGTTTAATTTGAGTTTAATATTCGGGCGTAACATCAATAAAAATAGTATGAGAGTTTTTTTAAAAGTTTATTTATTTAAAATCCATACGTTTCGGCTAGCATCTTAGCCATCATTCAGTGGTAATCAAATTAACTATAAAAATTGAAATTTCAAACATATATATCATCAAATTCAAGACTATTCAAATATATATATATATATATATATATATATATATATATATATGTAGAGGACAATATATTATGTTTTATATTTGGTTTATTTTATGTATGATTAGTATTGACAACACTATGTGTAATCATATCGATCATTTATAAAATGTAGTTAGTATTTGTTTATTTAAAATGAGAAAGGAAAGGTTTTGAGAATTATAATTTTGGCAATGAGACAGGGGAGAAACAAAAAAGAGATCCGAACTGACACTAGAACTATTTTGTTTCCTCCGTGCTGTCACTAGGGTGCGTTCGACTTGGACGCTTACGCGCTGTGAGCGCGCCGTGAGCGCGCTTTCGTCGTTCGACTTGGCGCTGTGAGTGTCACATAAGCACGCTCGTAGCATCATCGTAGGATGCTCGTAGCACATATTTTGCGCTCACATATGCTCACGCCACAGAGGTAGGGCAGCGTGAGCGTGAGCGTCAGTTGTTTTTACTATCTGTCATTTCATTTAGGGTGCGTTCGACAAGGACGCTTACGCGCTGTGAGCGCTCACGCTTATAAGCACGAATTTTTAGCGTTCGACTTGGCCGATAAGCGCTCAGAATCGATAACTAAATTCCGTTCGTTTTGGATACTGTGAGCGTCAATAAGCATCAAAATGGCGGCAACTGGCGGTAACGGTAATTGTGTAAATTTTATTACATTCTGGATCATTCAGCGCGATTATAAACAATTTAACAATTAATAAATAAATGAAATTTGGTTTGCTTATGCTTAATTCATATTAATATTAAAATTAAAATTTAAAATTATTTAAAATTAATTAAATTTAAAATTAATTAATATTAATATTAATATTAATATTAAAAAATAAATGTGATATACAACTTGGCATTTTTGCGGGATTATAAAAAATTTAACAATTAATGAATAAATGAAATTGGGTTAGCTTATGCTTAATTAATAGTAATATTAAAATTAAAATTTAAAATTATTTAATATTAATATTAATATTAAAAAATAAATGTGATATACAACTTGGCATTTTTGCGGGATTATATAGAATTTAACAATTAATAAATAAATGAAATTTGGTCAGCTTATGCTTAATTAATAGTAATATTAAAATTGAAATTTAAAATTATTTAAAATTTATTAAATTTAAAATTAATTAATATCAATATTAATATTAAAAAATAATTGTGATCTACAGCTTGCCATTTTTGCGGAATTATAAAGAATTTGACAATTAATAAACAAATGAAATGACAGATAGTAAAAACAACTGACGCTCACGCTCACGCTGCCCTACCTCTGTGGCGTGAGCATATGTGAGCGCAAAATATGTGCTACGAGCATCCTACGATGGTGCTACGAGCGTACTTATGTGACACTCACAGCGCCAAGTCGAACGATGAAAGCGCGCTCACGGCGCGCCCACAGCGCGTAAGCGTCCAAGTCGAATGCACCCTTATTTATTAATTGTCAAATTCTTTATAATTCCGCAAAAATGGCAAGCTGTAGATCACAATTATTTTTTAGTATTAATATTAATATTAATTAATTTTAAATTTAATTAATTTTAAATTTCAATTTTAATGTTACTATTAATTAAGCATAAGCTAACCAAATTTCATTTATTTATTAATTGTTAAATTCCTTATAATCCCGCAAAAATGCCAAGTTGTACATCACATTTATTTTTTAATATTAATATTAATATTAATTAATTTTAAATTCAATTAATTTTAAATAATTTTAAATTTTAATTTTAATATTACTATTAATTGAGCATAAGCTAACCAAATTTCATTTATTTATTAATTGTTAAATTCTATATAATCCCGCAAAAATGCCAAGTTGTATATCACATTTATTTTTTAATATTAATATTAATATTATTTAATTTCAAACTCAATTAATTTTAAATAATTTTAAATTTTAATTTTAATATTACTATTAATTAAGCATAAGCTAACCAAATTTCATTTATTCATTAATTGTTAAATTCTTTATAATCCCGCAAAAATGCCAAGTTGTATATCACAATTATTTTTTAATACTAATATTAATATTAATTAATTTTAAATAATTTTAAATTTTAATTTTAATATTAATATGAATTAAGCATAAGCAAACCAAATTTCATTTATTTATTAATTGTTAAATTGTTTATAATCGCGCTGAATGATCCAGAATGTAATAAAATTTACACAATTACCGTTACCGCCAGTTGCCGCCATTTTGATGCTTATTGACGCTCACAGTATCCAAAACGAACGGAATTTAGTTATCGATTCTGAGCGCTTATCGGCCAAGTCGAACGCTAAAAATTCGTGCTTATAAGCGTGAACGCTCACAGCGCGTAAGCGTCCAAGTCGAATGCACCCTATGATGAGCCTATCTGTCCAGTAGAAATGCGATGCGTGTTGACAGGCCGCTACATATATATATATATATATATATATATATATATATCTTATATATAAAATTCTTCTGTAACAATGTAAGTTTCATTAATCCTCCTAAACTATAATTCGGATTTTCATGAATCTTCCTGAAGTTTGTTCGGGAAATTTTTTAGAATGTTTTGATTCATAGAAATATAGTTAGATTGTAGAAATAAATGGAAAAAATTACAAAAAACCGCTTATCATTGTTTGCCCTTGAAAATATTTAAGGCATAGTTTGACATTAAAAACAAAAGACGACTGTCATTTGCCAAACATTTCCATTCACATATAGGCTAAGACAATATTAAAATATAATATATATATATGATTATGAATGAGAAAAATGTAAGGACTACATTATTATTGCCAAAAAGAAGCTGAGATGTGCTAAAAATTAAAATAATATAAGATTTAGTATAAGATACAGTCAACATCTGACAGGTGATGCAGTCTGCGCAAGCGTCTGTCAGTGATCGCACATATGCATAAAACTTAGCCTACAATTCACTTTGACTAATTATTATTTTTTAACTTTTAAATGCAGTCGTGTTTTGCCTTACTTTACTAAACCACGATACAAAAATAATTTATTTATTCAAAGAATTATTTAGAAGTTTCATTGTGTCAAAACTTCATATGTTTGGCATTGGATACGAAATATTTACTCAAGACAATGGAGCATTTTGGGTCTGAATATTTTTAATGTGCTCCAATTTGCATGAAATTTTGGAAACAGGTTCATCTTACTCTCAAGTTTAAAAGTAAAAATAATTTAGAATCATTTGCCACTTTCCGGGGGGATGACATCTCTTTTCAGTGGTTCAATTGTATCTCTTTCAAACTAACGTCGGATATCGATAAAAGAACTAATTAGAATAGAAAAATGTTTAATAATGTTTTTTTAAAAAAAAAATACTTTTCAAGTTACTGGCTACTGAAAATTTGTTGTTTTTTTGCGTTTTTCATCGTTTTTGACAATTATTTCTAAAAATATACATTTAAACAAAAATCATGTAATGAACAAAATTATATCAATCAAAATCCTAATAAATCGGGGTTCTATAAATTGTTCTAAGAACAATATTAGGCTAGATATAAAAATGGGGTTTTATAGTACTAAAAATGAGCTTTAAAATTAGTACTTCTGCGTGTAAGATGAGTGAGCTATCATGCAGATAAAAGACGCATACAATATTTTTTTCGTTTAAAGCAAATAGTTTTTGAGTGCCATTTTAAAAATAATCGTATTCCCTCTGGAATCAACTTTGTTTAAGAGATCTTGACGGATTCTAGAAAATACCAAAACTTTAGTGCAAAGGATTTTCAAAAAACTCATGATTTCATAAAAAAATCCATTAAAAAAAACAACCAATTTCTCATTATAATATCACTGAAAGAATACGTATAAAAGTATATATATGAAAATTCAAGGTATTTTTCTGACTAATTATTGTTTTTTTATTATTTTTTTGGTACACAAATATTAATAAAGTTCGAATTGTTTAAAGAGTGCGCGGCAGTAAATCAGAGTGTCTTTCGAGCCGTTTAACCCTTCGCCGTTTCAAAATAAGAGAAGTTACGGTAAAATTTATGATAGAGAAAGTTGTAGCTCATTTAATCACCTTTAAAATAGTATATTACAAGTTATGATAAAATCAGAATTAAAAGAATTATAATCCAATTAATGCGGGGGTGGTGACGAAATGCAAATTGTTTTCACTTCTGAACTTAAGATTAAGATTAGCTGAGCATACGCTTTTTTCCTCTCCATTTACTGCAATAATTTTGTTGATAGTAGGTTGAATAGAGCACATGTGAACAAAATTTTTACAAATTAATTCACTTCAAATATGAACTTAAGTAATAATGTATATTGAATTATTAGTGTGAAAAATGTAATTTAGATATTAAAATACTAAAAGCCAGTTAAAATAAGGTACGAAATTTTAAAAATTGTAGGCAACATTATTGAAGCAATTATTTTGGGTAGAAAAATCCAAGGTGATATTGTACCTTGACCGCGCATGCTATATATTAATCCTTCCTGAATTTGTTATACTTTTTAAAAGATTTCAATTTTCAACACGTGTATCTATGCTATGACAATAAATACATCACATAGGCAGACGATGACTTTTGTGTGATAAATTTGGAAAATCAATATTTTAGCCGTGAATAAACAAAAAATCATTCATTTAAACATCCACATCTACAGGTATGTCTAAAAATATTGTATAACCCTTAAATTGAATAAAATAAATTGAGCTATTGGAAATAAATTTGTTCTACAAATCGCAGTGTATAATTTTTAAATATATATAATTTTATTGAACATATTTTAATATTTTTTGAAGGGATAATTAAAGTGTTAACTGCGGGAATTGAGAATAAACATTTAACATCACTCATATATTGGTGTAAATAGTAACTCGAATAACAATAATGATTATTTTTAACTGAACGGTATAAATATTATATATTAATAGGATATTAAAAAAACGTAGAGGTGGGTACAGGACAACGTCTGTCGGGTCATCTAGTATATATATATATAAATGCGGTGGGCAGACGTGGGCCACGGGTTAGAGTGGGCCACCCGAATAACTCTAAAACAACTGACATGTATGTTGAACCGCGCACATATTTATCATATTTTGATACTTTCTCAATTTTAAAAAGAATTTGGAGGTTACAAATCTACTCTCTTTTACGGGCTTTTATTTGTGGACAGACATGGGCCACTTGATGAATAATACAGTTCTTTGCACTGTAAAGTGTTTATATCAATTATTCAAACGTCTTATTTGCTTATTTTTATTTCTTCAGTCATAATTTTCCCTAAAAAAACAGGAAACTCCCAAAAAAAAGTGGTGAAGCCCCTTTTTTCAAAGTCGTTTTTTGACGCAACTGTAAAAGATATCGGTGAACAAATGACGCAATTCTATTCACATCGGTGTGGACTATATCATCAATAACAAATATTGTTAAATAATTATTTGTCAGCCTATGAAAACGTGAAAACAATTCTTTGTTTCAAATTTTTGGGTAGTGCGGTTATTTGGACTAATTTTTAATTAGCATCGTTAGAAAGGCTAATTTTTCTTACGATCAGTTCTCTGCTCGCCTTTGCAATTAAGAGACGACTTATGCGGCTCTTATATGAGCGCGAGCGTGTACTTGCTCAGGTTATTTTAACTTTTGAATGTGTTCTACCACATGGACTAAAACTAAATTCTCGATAACGTAAGAAAAATTAATAGCCTTTCTAACGATGCTAATTTGGTTGGCCCACTTCTACCTATATTTTCGGAAAACACGGTAAATAGAAGAGAAAAACTTACAAACATAATTGCAAGCATCTGCTATGATAAAAATGCATTTTGGAATTTGAAAAAAATAAAGAAAATCATTTTCATTTTTAACTATTTCACAACCAAAAATAAAAACGTGGGCGATTTCTGTCCACCGCATTTTATATTTTATATAATCATAGGTGTTCCATGATGTAATGGTTAAGGTCGTCGTGAGTTCAAGTCCCACTATGGACAACCTGACATCATATAGTTGCGATGTCCATTTTTACTTGCAAATATAGATAAAAAATGGTTTCCAATTGAAAATAGTTCATTTCGGCCGGTGTAAAACGGCATTGAGAATTTGCTTCTTTCTACATTCTTCCATGAATCGAGTTGCAGTTTAGCTCAGCTCACGTACTTGCCCTGTTTTAGTACTACCCAATAAGCTGGCAGCTAAGTAAGTGCGGATTCTTGTTAAAAAATCAAAGACACTTTTTTGTTGAACATACATAACTTCATTCTTTAACGTATTTTATATTTTGATCGATGACTTTTTGTCATCTTTCAAACAGCACCATAATCCACGTTCATAAAACTTCTTATTTTTATTAGCAAAAAACTGGGTCAGATACAATTTCACACCATTATCAAAATTCAATTTTTTACCATTTATAGAGTTTTGCAAAGATCGAAAGTAAACGTAAGTGTAAGTTTAAAACTATATTTTGGATGTGTAAAAACGTCCTAATCAAGCTGTAATAATTTTTGTCAAGCTGCCTTAAGATGTCTGTGGTCGTGCGCTGTCATGATGTAATGTATCATCTTTTCGATTTGTCAATACCGGCCGCATTTTTGAACTACTTTGTTTAATTTTGTTAATATAGACATCGTAATTGATTATTCGGTTGGGTAATAAAAGTTCAGAGTCGAAAATTTCTTTGCAATTTATCCAGACTGAGGTCAAAATCTTCTTTTGATGACTTGACGTTGCTTGACCTGGTTTATCCGCCGTTATATTTTCTGGTTGATATTATTTTAAAGAACCCATTTCTATCGCCAGTTATCGATCCTTTAAAAATGGAAAAAAATGGATTGTTCTTAAGCAAATAGCAGCTGCTAATGTTACGTTAACTTTTTAAACATAGCCAACATTGTTTTAGGTGACTATGTAATTTCTTTGTGTAACGTATTGCATTGTGAAAATCCGAATTAAGTAATAGATTGTCATCAACTTCAACTGGACAACCAATGCGCTTTTCATCTTTGAGTGAAAAATCCATAAAACGTAATATGGCAATTGGCAAATAATCTATGGATAGCTGAATTGCGAATGAAATTTAAAATTAACATTGTTCAAATTTTGTATTTTGGTTTTCCTTAGTTTGATTGAATGATATTAAATATTAAGTGTGGAAACATATAAATAAAGAAGTGAAAATTATTTTACCTTTTATAATTCGATGAATTGCTTTCTATTTAAATCCAATATTTTTTGCTTTCTATTTAAATCCATTTGCTGGGAACCGTTATCTCAAATCAATATGTTTGGTGCTGAACAATTCTTATCTATGCTGAGCTTTTTCCGAACGGTATTTTCTGAATGTGAATGGAACAAATAGTTATGAAAATTATGTTTTTCACACTTTTCGCAATTCCTAAGAGAAACGTATATCATAATAGTTCTCATTAACGATCTAAAATTTTAATCATTATTTAGGCAATTAAAAGAATATAATTGTTAAAATGAAATCGAATTATTTGAAAGTTTTTGTTTTAATTTATATTAATCTTTTCTGACATTAGAAATCATTAAAATCTTATAATGTAGATTTCGGTTTATATATCTAATGTTACTTTAATTTTTACTTGTTTATAAATGTGCCATTTTTCAGGTATCCAGTAATACTATCAAATGTAGAGAAACTGATTTCAAGGAAGGTCTGTTTAGCATTTAAACAAACTGTCTGTGGATTCGATTTACTAAGGTATGAATAATAGTTTAAATTAATTAACTTTAATAATCAATATTAACTCAAATTAAGAGCCAAAACATTAGCACATAGAATAATATTGATGACATTATTATATGAAAAATACATTTTTGATTGAGATAATCGTTTGATATTGACTAATTTTGATAAACTTTTTCCGTTACAGGGCAAATGGAAAATCGTTTGTATGTGATGTGAATGGTTTTAGTTTTGTTAAAAATTCGAATAAATATTATGATGATAGTGCCAAAATTTTGGGCAATATGATTTTGCGAGAGTTAGCACCTACGCTGCATATTCCATGGTCAGTTCCATTCCAACTAGATGATCCTCCAATTGTACCCACCACTTTTGGGAAAATGATGGAACTTAGGTAAATATACAATAGTTCACAAAAAGGAATTGATTGTGAATTATACATATTATTATATTATTGTATTTACTAAGTTATCAGAATTATATTAATTGAAATTACTTTAATACTTTTAACAAACAATTGTGACTCATATTCATATTCGAATTTTGTCACCGGAACATAATTTTAACTACAAACTTTTCCAATTGATGCTGAGAAACAAAAATAAACGATAACAAATATTTTTGAAATGATTAAAAATAGTATAGAAAATAGTTTATCATATCTTTTGATTAGATTTTTTCTAAATAAAAATAAACTAGTGGGGTGTATGGCATCGTGCCTTAAGACAAATTGCTGAAACATCCCGTACCGTAACGTAATGTTCGAGGAATATTGAATGTTTTCAGACAGATTATTATAAATTATTATAAATATTGTAACATAATGTTACTAACATTGTCTAATATTTATAAGAATTATATAAATTGAATTGCAAAGTTGAAATTATTTGTTTAAAGTATATTAGAACTTTAGTCAGAATTAAAAATGAAATCTGAATTATTATCGACAAAAAAAATTTTTTTTCTGAAAAAAAAATTTTGAAACAAATTTTTTTTTCCAAAACCAATTATTTTGTTAAAACAAGCAGAAAGTTCTTTTTTAAATCATTCAAATCGGACGCTTAGTTCTCTCAAAAACTGCCATTTTTTGAACATTTAGTTCTGTATCTTCGAAATGGCTGGGCCTACCTTTGCCAAAAACAATAACCACTTCTCCCAATCATTACTAATTAAATGTTTTTTAGATCATTATTTCTATTTTCTGCACTCTTTGCTCTTTATCTCCGTAACTGCTGGGCCTGCCTTTGCCAAAAACTAATCAGCACATCTCCCTATCAATACGAATCGAATGTTTTTTGAACCATCCAAATTGGTTGATCCGTGCGCCCGAAAACGTGACTGAAAAATACATACATACGAGGTCTGTTCAAAAAGTTTTCGTAATTTTCGTTTTTTCAAAAAAATATTTATTTATTCGTCTACATTAATGTGGTCCCCTTCAAAGTAGTCCCCCCCAGATATAATACACTTATGCCAGCGTTTTTTCCAATTTTCGAAGCACCCTTGATATTCACTTTTTGATATGTCCTTGAGCACTCTCGGCGATTTTCTTCAATCGAGGAAAACCGCCGTCCTTTCATGGGTCTCTTCAACTTTGGGAATAGGAAAAAGTCACACGGAGCCATATCTGGTGAATTTTTGCACTTTGCAACACTTTATTTCATTTTTTACGCAAAATTTAATACAAATTCTTTGACTTTTTCAATTCTTCCATTGTAAAAATCGCCGAGCTCAGAAAAACACGTCGAACCTTAGCGACTACCACAGACAAAGTAAACAGTGAATATAGCTGAAAATTTCATCATACTTTAGGGGCATGTATACCAACACAATAAAAAAAAATTTTGACAATCAGACACTCCAGACCCGCGAAATTTAATTATTAGTAATTCCGGGTACTTTTTGAACAGACCATGTACACACACATCAATTTTTTCTGAGGTATGCCAAAATGTTCAGAAACCTTCAAAACGTCGAAAATGCAAAAAATTTGAATTTCGATTTTTGGACAATTACAATAACTTACCATACGAGAAGTTAATAAATAAATAAATACATTAATTTTTTAGAACGTGTTTCTTTTCCTTTTTGAAAAGGATAATGGTATTTTTCTTGTTAAAATAATAACTTTGCTCCGTTGTATACAATTTTTGAATTCAAAATAAATATATCTCAGTTACTGTATTGCTGAATCCATTCAAACTAATAGAAGTACATATGTTCTTATTATTGTCATTATTATTACTATTGTCAATTTTATACACCATTACATTTTATTTTATTTTTTGATCGTTTTCTCTGTTAATCTTTTCAAACCCATTAATGTAAAAGTAATAAATTTCATTTGTTTTCATAACTCTTTCTTATAGTTTTAAGTATATAGTTAATGTGTTTCTTTTCATTGTCATTTCTGAAAAATGTATCTCATTTTGTCAAGTATGTTTATTTTGTATCTTCGTGAACTAACATCAGTAATTTTTAAGTTTGTTCTTATTGTTTTGTGTATATTTTTTATGTATGGTTTGTTAACATTGTGGTCAAAATTAGTTTTGTATTTTTGGTGCAATACAGAACATCAAATATGTCCTTGTGTTTTTATTTGTATTTCATAAAGATTAGTGTTAAATTTATTTATCAATTTAGTGGCTTAAAACGTTATTTTTGCTTTTGTATATTCAAAGTGATATGATTTAAAGTTTGGATATTATATTATACATTATCAAATAATCTTTTAATTAGCTTACTGTTATTATATATATATATATATATATATTATATATATATATATATATATATATATATTTATATATATATATATATATATATACTGAGTTTAACATTCACGGCTTTTTAATGCTAATCGTTTAATTTGAAGACAAAATTCATTAATTAAACTTTTTCAGATGCGTAGTTGCAGTAATCAGACACGGTGATCGAACTCCTAAACAAAAAATGAAAGTAGAAGTTAGGCATCCTAAGTAAGTATGATTGTTTTTGAAATCGATTCATTAGAAACACGATTTAATAAATATGTTATTATAGTTCCATTTAGTTAAGAGATTATATAACCAATAGTCAACGACTCCAAGTTGAGTAAAACTGATTGACACTGATTATAACATCTTTAAATGGATAAATATCATCAAAAAGACATCGCCATATCATTTTGCCAGAACTTTCCTTACGCCTCGTTACTTTCGTCATTGCATTACATTATTACAATATTTACATTATTTTGTTTGCTTTTCAGATTCTTTGAAATTTTTGAAAAATATGATGGATATAAGAATGGCCATGTAAAATTAAAACGCCCAAAACAACTTCAAGAAATATTGGATATTGCACGATCTCTTCTATCAAAAATTCAAACCAGGGCGGCGGACGTAGAAATTGAAGAAAAGCAGGGCAAACTGGAACAGCTGAAAAGTGTACTCGAAATGTAAGTGATTAAAAATAATATATTTACATATTGATATGATAAAATTATGCATTGCTATTATATCTAAAAACAATTTGTCTTGGGCTTATATTTGAAGGAAATATCATATTAAATAGATGCATTTTTTAAAACTGTTAACTATATGAGAGATACCAGATTTATCATTTGAAACCTACTTTATAGTCGAATCATTTCACAAATTCTACATTATTTTGTTTATGTCACATTTCAATTGGCGTTTTACTATTTTAATTCACCAGTGATATTATTTTCTAGTGTTTTTTTTAAATATTATATCTTTCAACAATGTTAATTACTACCTATTTTATGTGTGTCATGTTTTAGAAAACTTAATAGTTTATTTATATTTCCATTACCATTATTTCCATACATTTTACAAAAGATTGCTATGAACAGCTTTTGAAAATTTGATGCATGCATTAAATTAATCTCTGAGCTCAGCAAGTTGCAAAAACTAAATGTGTTAGTTCCAAGCACTATCATATATTAGGAATTTATCATCCGCTAGCAAATAGATGATTTTATTAGTTCCAATCCTCTTTTATCATGTCTGCTCCTTTTTCTCCGATCATTGTTGTCGGTGCGTTTGTATTACCGCTAGTGATTTTTGGCATGATACTTGCATCTATAACACGTAACCCTTCTATACCACGTACTTTTAATCTCGGATCTACAACTGATGTAGAATCATTAGTTGCACCCATTTTTACCGTACCTACTGGATGGTAATCTGTGGTTCCAATATTTCTTATCAAACACTGCCAAAAGTCATCCGTGAAAAATTCATGTTTACGACAATTTGGTAGGTCTATTTTTACAAATTCTGCCTTTACTCCTCCCATGCTTTGCGTTTCTAAGAATTTTGTTAAAAATTTAAGAGATTGAAGGGCTACTTCAATATCTTGTGGATGATCCAAATAGTTGGGGTAGATTAATGGCTTTTCTGAAGCGTTGCTACTTTTCAATTCAATTTTTCCAGTTGATAAAGGATTTAATATATTTGGCAACATAATCAAAAGATGAGAATCAGAATTCGCACTAAACAACGATTGACCGGTTTCCTCTAGAAATCCTAATACATTTATAACTAGTGACAAACTTTGACTATCATTCCTAGGAATGAAAAAACAGTGAATCTGCGAGTTAGGATATATAGAGTTTGAGTCGTAATTGATGTAGCCAGCAATGTTTGTAATACCTATTCCTGATAGAGGTCCATCATGATGAATAAACATTTGGTAAATTTGATCTAAAGTTTGTGCTTGCGATATTGCTTGAGCTGTTTTTTCATTTATTTTTATAAAAATAGGTACGAATAAATGGTCTTGCAAATTTTTACCGACTGCTGGTGAATCTACTTTGACGTTAATTCCAAAATCGTTTAAATGCTTTTTTGGTCCAATACCACTCAGCATCAATAATTGCGGCGAATTGACAGTACCACAACTTATGATAACTTCTTTAGTAGCTTTGGCTTGGTAAGTCAGACCGTTTCTTACAAATTCTACACCGACCGCTTTTTGGTTATTGTCTATTATTACTCGGGTCACCAAAGAATGCTTCAACACTAATAAGTTTTTTGGAATTTTAGTCAAAAACGCATTGGCTGTACTGCACCTTGTTCCTTTATCTAGACATCCTTGCATAAATCCAAAGCCCATTTTTTCACCTGCATTTAAATCAGTGATATTTTTGTAACCTAACTCTTCTGCTGCTTGAAATATTACATTCTTTAGGGGAATGTTATCAAAATAGTTATCTACTGTAAGTCTTCCGCCTGTACTATGATAATGGCCATTGTCAATTGCTAGAATTTGTGGTGCTCTAAGATCCTCTGATTTTTTTAAATAGGGTAATACTTCTTTATATGACCAACCAAAGTTACCTAGGTTAGCCCAATTGTCGTAATCTTTTTGGTGTCCCCGAATATAGAGCATACCGTTAATGCTGGAAGAGCCGCCCAAAACTTTGCCACGAGGCCAATAGCATCTTTGATTTTTAAATCCTAAACAACATTTGGGATCTGGTTCTGTGTAGTAACCCCAGTCAATTTCAGTTTTTTGCAAATTGAGAAATAGTGATGGTATCTGAAATATAAGAATTGTTGAGCAATTTGTATCATCATGGGAAGTACTAAACGTATCATATAAATGTTAAAAATAAACATAATTAATATACAATCAAAGCGTTTTACAACAAATCTAGGGTCCTTCGTAAAATCAATCAAACCAAACAAATATTATGAATAATATGTATATGCAAGGATATGTAAAGAGATTTATAATATCAGAATTGTGGCAAGTAAATAAGATATATATTTATAATTTCTAAAGTGTAGAAATTATAGAAACGAGTGATAGTACATAGTATATGGATTAAAACTGGGTGCTTTTTGAAATGGATGGTACTTGTTTCTTATTATTTTGATCTATATAACACAGTACATAAAATAATGCTATACATTTAAATTTAGTAGTTAAGGCAATTAATTTAGGCAATGTTTTTTTCAAATTCATACATTATTAAATTGTCTATGCTTCTAATGGGAACTAAAATGCAAAATGATTATTACCTCAGTTGAAATTGTGGGGTCGCCTCCGGCTTCTATTAGAAGTATTTTCCAGTTAGAATTTTCACTTAAACGATTAGCAACTACAGAGCCGGCTGATCCTGCTCCGACAATGATAAAGTCGAACACCAAATCATCTGGAAAATAATAATATGAATTATACAAAATAGGTCTAAAATATAGTAAGTCTAAATTATAGAAGTCTGAAGATTCATTTTTAGTATAAAAAATAACTGATGGTGAATGTGGAAGTACGTGGTATGTAAGTGAAGGATACAGCTGACGCAAAATATATGGATGGTTTAACCACTGCAAAGCATATACATTTTTTCGGAGCATATTGAGTCATTGTAGGTGCCAGCACTGCCAGCCTAATCTTAAACTGACTTCATTTAAATTGAATCGGCACATTTGAAGATTGGAAGTTTTGATATATTATTACTCTACTTTTAGAGAATCGAGTGAGATTCCAATGGTAGGGTGTCAATACCATATGTAGGTTTTGAGACAACTTTAGGGTGTCAATATACAAGTACTTACAAACTTACAGCTGGGTATCTCGATTTCCGAGGTGAATTTACTATAATTACTCGATTATAATTATCCATTTGGATCAAAAATGATTGGACTACTAAAATGACTATTATGATTTAGGGATTTGTAGATTTTTTTTTGTTATAATTTATTTTTGTTAATCAAGACAGTATTTGTAGATTGAAGGTGAAAATTAAAAGCTGTATGTATTTTCTAATTCCGCATTGAAAAAATTTAAATAAAGAAAATTGATCCCAAAATTTAAGGAAAATTGTTAGGGGCGAAAAACCCTTGATAAAAATACATGGATTTAGAAGTAAAATTTAAGCTCCTTCATAAACTCAAGAAAACCTAAAGTTATAAATCTTAAAATACAGTGCAAAACATTTACTGGCTGAAATCTGTATAAAAAATTAATTAATCACTAAAATGAATATTACGGAATGCCGTGTGAGGTAGAAGGGCAAATTTAGGGCCATATGTATTTTTGAATTACACAATTTATTTAACTTTTAAAATCAAGAAAATTGGTCTCAAAATTAAGAAAAAGATTTTAAGGGTAGACAACCCTGAATTAAAAATAATTTTTTTCTGGAGTTAAATTTTAGCTTTTGCATAAGTTTAAAAAACATTTATTGACTGCACGAGGGATGAAAAATGATTTCATTACTTAAATGGTTTTTGTGAAATAGGGGTTAGTGATGAAAAAGGGTTACTTGATGATGAATTTAGGGTTACTTGTATTATTTAATGCTACATTATAAAAAATTTATAACAACAAAATGCTCAAAAATTAAAAAAAAATAAGGCGGGACAAACCTTATCAATTAGGCGGTATTATAAATAGATAGTAGTTTATTCTCAGACCTACAGATATATAATTTGGTAAAAATCGATAAAGCCGATGTAAAGATCTATTATTTATTTTAATGTATTTAGAAATTTTCAGATTATTTTAGTTCTGCAAAAAATTTAATATGTAAAAAATATATATTTTTTGTAGGAATATTGTTTTATCTTAAGATTAGACTTATCGATATTCGACTTAAAATGTAAAGAATTAATTAATTTTGTTCTTCATTTCTATTGTGACAGCTTTTATTTGAAAACAGTGCACGGTTTTAAACTGTAAGTTTTTATTTTGTTCAAGTAAATTTAAACTGGCTTATTTGTCACTGTAGCATTGATTTTAAGTTTTTAGTTTGATCATTAAACAAAAACGTGATTAAGCGATTAAGATGTGTACAATACTATCTTATTATGCTACAACGTCTCCATTATATCAACAAAGTTTAATAATCAGTTTAATTTAATTAAACTGTGATATTAGAACCAAAATTATATCAGCCAAGTTAGAATATATTATAAATTTCATGACTTTAATTTTTTTGGCAAAAGATATTTTGTGTAATAACAACTGAATATTATTTTTAAAACTATTTCTAAATTAAACTTGTCAATTCGTATAGTTTTATATTTACATAATAATATATTTATATAAATACCAGAATTCATATAATCCCCATAATCTTTTGGCCAGATATTGCTATTTGATAAATTACATGGTGAAGCCATAACTGATTGCATTAGCATTGCGAGTAATTGACCAGCTGGACCTGTTGTATGTCCAAGACATGAGGAGGTATAAAAATCCATCATTGGATATTTTTCTTGAAACCAAATTCATAAAATTATACTAAAACATTTAATATACTGTTAAAAAAAACATTAATGTTTTGGTGGAACTCTAAAAGAACTGATATGTTATGATTTATTTTTATTAACAATCACTTGTGCAAATTTATTCATTGTATTAATTGTTCAAACATAATTTTAAAGTAAATATTTTTGTATGTACAAAATAATGTTAATATCG